CTCCTCCGTCAGCACCGCCACAGGGGCAGCAGCACGATCGAGTCGTCGACCCGTCGTCCGAGTCGTCGTGTACCGTCGAAGCTGCTGCCCTATCATCTCTCCCTCTTGGACCGCGCGATGCGGAAGAGGCAGCAGTCTGTTCGTTGTTTAGCTTGCATGGTGAGAGGCCCTCCCAGCAAGCCGTGCAGCAGGTGCCCGTGCCAGCCTCGTCGGCTGGAGCGTTCGGCCGAGACCGAGTTGCCCCCGTCCTTGAAGAGGACGAGGCCTCGCTCGTCGCCGTCGCTGCACAACAGTCTGACGACTCAGACTAGGAGATGCAGCATGCGTCCTCCGCGTGTGGTGCGTCTCGCCCTGACCTCATTCTTCTCTGGTCGTGGGCTCAGGGGGGCAGGCGGTGAGCCACAGGGGATCCTCCCTTCCTGTGGGAAATCGCCCCGTGGTTTTCGCGCCTGCCCTCCTTCTTCGTTTCACTGCTCGCTGGCCTGTTTCAGGCCAGATAGCAGGGGGCGACGCCCTCAGGCCGTCGCCCTTGGTTGCCACGGTTGATGTCAAAAAAATCCTCCTCCTCCTCCTCCTCCTCCTCCTCCTCCTCCTCCTCCTCCTCCTCCTCCTCCTCCTCCTCCTCCTCCTCCTCCTCCTCCTCCTCCTCGGGGGGGGGTCGGAGAGCTGTGGGGTCTCCGAAAAGGCCAGGGGGGGCCTGTTGGAGTCCCGCACAGTTCCCAAGACGCCTTCTCGAAGAAGACGCCGGGGCCTTCTGAAAAGGCCGCAGATGCTTCCGAGGAGCCCCCCGCCACCCCTTTCTGGGCGGCGCTGCGGAGGGAAGGAGTCGCGGCGTCGCGGGGTTCGGGTCATGCCGCGCCATGACGGGGGAGAGTCGGTCAGCCGATCCCTCTGGTTGGCCAGAGTTGGAGTGCCACGTGGCGCCGGGCCCCCCAGCAGAAATCAGGGGCAACGTCCGGGGGGAAGGGCTCCGGAGGGCTGCATCGACCACAAGTCGCTCACTCATCGCCGTTGAGGTTTGAAGTGTCCGGGCGTCTTCGTCGTCGGTTCCACGTGGTTTTTCCAGCCTCTGGATGCGTTCCAGCGGCTGCGCCTCGCCGAGAGCTTTCCGGGGGGGGCGCGTCGTCCGGAACAGTCGCTAGAGAGCCGAATTCTATGCCTCGAAAGCCAGACGATGAGGATCGCAGAGCGGGATGGTCTCAGGGGGGATGCATCGACCCCAAATCGCCCATTCGTCGCCAGCAGGGGCCCGATGGATGGCCAGCCCCTCCCAGCAGCATGCGGGTTCGCTATCGGAGGCCTATCGCCGATCTATCAGCGATGCATCGCGGATTCCACGTCGATGCGTCCCCCCCGTAGCTTGGGTTGACCCAAAAGGGGATCCAGGGACAAGGGGTTGGTGCAATAGATTTGGTGCAATCGATTTGCAGGGTTGCTAATACATCGGAGGCGTGCAATACATTCTGGGGCGCACATGGATTGCTGGACTCTTGCGTGCAATACATTATTTGCAATACAGTGCAATACAATTCTCCAGCGCAATTAATTTGCAATACAATTGCCCTAAATCTATTGCACCACCCACCTTTAGCTGGACCCCCTATTGGGTCACCCACATTTGCCAGTCCCCCCTAACTTTCCTCCCCAACCCCCTCCCGCCACTGACCCTGGTCTCCCAGCTCCAATGCTCTATGCGCGGCTGGCCTGGGCTCGCGTCGCGGCGCTGGCCCGGCTAAGCGCCAGAGCGACCATTTGCCCGAGTGGCCTGTGGTGGGCTGCTTTCGAGGGGACCCTACTTCCGTCCACGACCACCGCCTGGGGGATCGATCGTCGGGGCCTCGTCAGGCGATGGATCCGGACAATGCTCGGGCCCATGGGGGGGGTGTCAAAGAGGACCATACCCACCGCCTCACGAAGTTCCCGCAGACCGATCTCCTGGGCGGTGGTTGCGGACGAATCCCCCCCTCGCCATACGCGAGCCCAGGTATCCGACGGTGTGTGGTTTTCATTGCGCGGCCCTAGAGGTCTCGACCACTCTCCTCGGGCCAGTATTTCGCTTCGGATCCATGTCTGTTGGCCCCGGGGCCCAGCAAAGGCCCCCGAAGGGCCGAAATCGAGGGACCAGCGTTGTCTGAACAGATCAGATCGTCGGACATTTAGCGATTGAGAATGAGGAAGTCACAGAACTTAGCAACCACATACATGCCCCAGAACCGCCAGAATTGCTACATACATGCCCCAGAACCGCCACGAATCCGCTGTGGTACACGGGTTAGGTCGGGCATGTCCCCCTACAGGCTGATTTTGGAAGAAAAATAGATGAAATAGTCAAAACATGTTCGTCAATAGTCAAAAATACTTTTTTTAAAAATCGCCCCCAGACTGTTGCTTAATTATTTTCTGAATACTCATCCTGTAAAGGGTTCCCGATTTAAACACGGGTAAAATACTCTAGAAGGTTTGTTGACGGTCTTGGGGTCCGGCGAGTGCCCCCAGGGGCCGTCCATGGCGAAACATGTTCCGTCTCGGTGCTTTCGATGCGTTTGAGGTCTGGCACGCAGGCCGCTGCCGTCGCACTGCGCGCAGTGGCCGGCGAGCCACGCACCAGCCCTGAGATCCGACGTCACGACAAAAGCGACACCGCACAATTAGCTCGACCAGAGCCTTGGACCCCGTCTTTCTGATGCACTTGTTCAAGCCAGATCGACGCCGAGGATCGATGAAATTGCCCGGAAGTTTCAAGCCTCGCACCTCTGCGAGGCGGTGAGGGTCGTTGGTCCTCTTCGCCCAAGATGGGATGGGTCCCAGGGTTCCACACGGCCCCTCCCTAGGTAGGATTGGGGCTGGCGTTGACGCCGACGCCGCCGCCGACGACGACGACGACGCCAGCGCCGACGCCGACGCCGACGCCGATGCCGATGCCGACGCCGACGACGACGCCGACGCCGACGCCGCCGACGCCGACGGACGACGACGACGCCAACGGACGACGGCGACGACGACGACGACGAAGACGACCGACGACGACCGACGACGGCGACGGCAACGGCGACGTCGACGACGACGACGAGATCGACGACCGACGACCGACGACACACGACGACGACGACGACCGCGGCGGCGACGGCGACGACGACGACCGACGACCGACTATCACGACGACGACGACGAACCACCCCACACCCACAGGGAGAAGGGAGGGGTGCATGGGCACCCTCACCACGTCATGCCCACGGGGCCACGGCCACAGGGGAGTGTGGGGCGATCTATCTGCGACGCCCTCTTGGGGAGGCTCACGGGTGTACTCATCTAGCGGGTGAGGGGCTCGATCCCATATGCATTTGGTAGAGGGGGGGCAACCCTGGATCATATATCCATATCACCGACGTCTTGTGGACCCAGCTGGCTGTGGATATTGATCAGAGTGAGGGGGCCGAAAAGTCATTCATTGTCCCTGGGTGCGCTGCTGAATCAGGAATTCGTGGTGAGAATTCTGCTTGTTGCGTTGTTGGCGTTGTTGTTGTTATTGGTGTTGTTGTTGTCGGTGTTGTTGTTGTTGTTGCTGGTGTTGTTGTGTGTGGTTGTTGCTGCTGCTGTTGCTGTTGGCGCTACTGTTGTTGGTGTTGCTGTTTCTGTTGACGTTGATGTTGTTGTTGGTGTTGGGGCTGTTGTTGTTGTTGCTGCTGCTGTTGTTGTTTGTGTTGGTGTTTGTGCTTGTGTTAGTGGTAGTGGTAGTGTTAGTGTTAGTGTTAGTGTTGTTATGGTTATTGATCTAATTGTTGGTGTTGGTGTTGTTGTTGTTGCTGCTGCTGTTGTTGATGGTGTTGTTGTTATTGCTGCTGTTTGTTGTCGTCGTCCCACCCGCGACCCACCCCGCGACCCACCGCGCGGCCCACCCCGCGACCCACCCGCGACCCACTCCGCGACCCACCCGCGACTCACCCGCGACTCACCCGCGACCCACCCCGCGACCCACCTGCGGCCCACCCGCGACCCACCCCGCGACGCGCCCCGCGACCCACCCGCGACCCACCCCGCGACCCACCCCGCGACCCACACCGCGACCGACCCGCGACCCACCCCGCGACCCACCCGCGAACCCAGCGACCCACCCTCATGGGAGGAAAAAACACCTGGACCCGACAATTGACGTTTACTACACGGCCCTAGGCGTTGACTAAACAGCTCTGCCATGTTCGATTCATTCCCTGCGTGCGTTTACTAGACGACTTCGCTTGTAGGGGCAATTTTTATGGAGTGGATTTTCTGCCCTCTACATCCGCGACCCACCCGCGACCCACCCGCATTGGTTTAATTGAAAAATCGGCGCTTTCGGCGAGCTCGTTGTATAATTTGTTAAGCTTTGGCGCCTGCGGCGGGCTCCTCCAGAGTCTCGCAAACTGCGGACGTCCCCTCCGCCCCCTCACTCTTATCCGCATCTGCGGGGTGCTACGGGTATTTGGGCCCCTTGGTGCCATAATGCAGTGGACACCCATGCCAAGAGCCATGCTGCTTGCCTCCGGGGGGGGGGGCCTGGGTTACTTAGGTTTCGATGGTTTTGCTATGGGGAGCGTGACGTCCCCACACCAAAAATCAGTGGACGTACTGAGGTCTCAGGATTGGGGTTATTGTGGAAGGTTTCTTGTGGTCGAGCTCCTACTGTATATCGGACTCCACCGCCTGTGGAGGTCTGCGAAAATCGATCTTCTAGGCGGTGGTATGTATAAATCTCGAGCCCGAGAACCTCGAACCTCGAAGGACCTCAGAGTTGACGCCGTATACGAGGGGGTCAATCCTGCCGCGAAGGGCCGCCCTCTGCGCGCATATGGCCGGCACCGCCTGGCCCAACCCACGGCAGGGCGCCATAGACGGGGGGGGGCACAGCAAACGGTGGCAAGGGAACGCCAATTTCCACGTTTGGTTCTGCCCCCGTGAAGGGGGCCCTGGGCGCCGTAGACGGGGGCATATGGAAAATCCTCTAAGTTCCCGTTTAGCTAAGCCCCCGCTCACGAAGCCCCGACCCTGGCAGGTGCTGGCGGACCAGAGGCGCGGACCCAAGGTCCACATCTTCGGGCACATCCATGAGGCTCGGCGAGAAAGCTCTGGGGCAGGTCGGTCCTCTGCGTGTCAGTCGTAAGTCGGGCCGAAGTAGTCCAAAAGTAGTCTGGGGACGACCCATTGTCAATTTGTTTTTTTTGTATGTTTTGAGCATGTTTATTTTTCCACCCAAACTCCGCCTGTAGGGAGGCACGCCCGACCGAGTATCAGTCCGCTCTCGGCGGTTTTCCAGCCTCGGGGTGCCTCTCAGCAGCTGCGCCTCGCCGAGAGTGCTCCCGGGGGTGCCGGGAAATCGCTCCGAACGGCGGCCAGTTGCCCGAGCTACGGTTCAGTCGGGCCTGTCCATCAACAGGGGGAACATTCAAAAATAGTGAAAAAATAGTCTGGGGACCATTCTTATAGCATGTTTAAAAGATTTGTTTTAGCATGTTTGGTGTATTTTTCATTTTCGTCCACAATCCCCATGTAGGAGGACAGGCCAGACTTAATTCTAAGACGGCGGCTGGGCTTCTAAGACGCCCTCCGGCCTCATGAGGAGCCCTCTGTCACCCTGTGGCTCCGGGGAAGGCTTGGGGAGCTCCCCAGCAGGCCGAGGACCCTTTTGGCCTTCCGGGAAGGCCCGCCCCTTCGGTCTTCCACCCGTGTGTGGTCGCCGCCAGAAGACCTTTGGGGCAGCGCCAGGAGGGATAGGCTCGGGGGGGGGTGCATCGACCCCCGATCGCCCACCAGGAGCGTGCGGTATCGTCTCGCTATAGGGGGCCTACATCGCCTGTGTGTCGGCGATGTATCGCCGATTCCAGGTTGATGTTTTCCCATTCTGAGCCTGCTCCCCTTGTCATCCCCCTTGTGAGTACGGCGCCGACATTATACGTTCGGACCTCCAGAAGTTTTTTGCTTATGCCGGCCGTTCTCCCTCCACGGTCTCTGCCAGGGGCCTCGGGGGCGTGCCGAGAGGGGAGTGAGGATTACGGGGGAGCTGGGGCCAGCCCTTCACTCGTTCCAGCCTGGGCGGCCGAGTTTCTTTACAGTTCTTTCAGCCTTGGCGACCTTATCCCAACCTTTTCGGGCTGGTCTCAGCCCCCGCCAACTTTTGTCAACCCTGGCCACTTCCACTTGTCATTGGATTTCTAGCGCCCCACTCTTGTTCCAGCTTCTCTCGTTGGGGGCCTGTCGGTCTCATGGCCAGGGCAATGGCCTCGCCCTGGTCTCGCGCCCCCTCGTCTGTTTGTTGCGCTCCCGCTTATGCCGTGCATGTGTGTGTGTGTTTGTGTGTGCGCGTGGTTCTAGTTGTTTGTTTCGTTGCATTTCAACTTCGGGTCTGAAGTCCCGACGGCTTCCCAGGGCCAGCTCTTCATCCTGACCTGTTTTCTGATGGCCCTGAGTCCCGACGAGGGCTCCCAGATGGCAAAATTGGCGAAAGATGTACGTTGGGGATTTGGGGGCCGCAAGGCATCTCTCAGGGTTACGTCGGGCGTGTCCAGGAGGAGTATTCAAAAATAGTCCAAACATAGTCGGGGGATTTTTCCCCATATCCCAAGGATGGGGTTCATGTTATTCTCTGACCGCGCCAGACCCCTCATCATCAGCCCTGCCTTCCCTCCTCCCCCTCTGCACTAGACAATGATGATGAGTGTCATGATGATGGCCATGGTATGGTGAGAGTATGATGTGAGTATGATGGTGATGAGGCCGGATGAGTATGATGTTGATGATGATGATGATGATGATGATGATGATGATGATGATGATGATGATGATGATGATGATGATGATGATGATGGTGTTGATGATGATGATTATAATTGTGATGGTGTTGGTGATGATGTTGGTGATGGTGTTGGTGATGGTAATGGTGATGATGATGACGATGATGATGATAATGATATTGATAATGATAATGATGATGATGATGATGATGATGACGACGACGACGACGACGACGATGATGATGATGATGATGATGATGATGATGATGATGACGACGATGATGACGATGACGAGGAGCAGATGATGAGGATGTCTCGAGCGGTTTGCTGGTTTCAGCACTTCTAAGGGGGGGGCCGCCAGGGGTATCTCACGGCCTCCGTTCGCGCCAACATGGCAGGGATGTCTCAGGCAGTTTGCCTGTTTTGGTTCGCGAACATCCTTCGTTTTCGGAGCAGATTTTGAGGATGTCTCGTGCGAGGCGCCTCCTAAGGGGAGGGCGCCAGGGGTATCTCACGGCCTCCGTTCGCGCTGAGACTGCGGGGACGTCTCAGGCGGTTTGGTTTGTCTGTGTTGGTCGCGAACATCCTTCGTTTTCGGAGCAGATTCTGAGGATGTCTCGTGCGAGGCGCTCATTTCCGCCCCCCAGGTGAGCCAGATGTTGAGGATGTCTCGTTCGGTTTGCCTGTCTTGGTGGCTAGACTCGTGGGCACAAATTCTCCCCAGGATGCCACAGGAGGCTGCAGCAGGCTCCAGGAGGCCCGCCCGAGGAGGCCACATGAGGTCCCAGGGGACATCAGGAGGCCACAGGAAGACTCAAGAGGCCACAGGATGTCCCAAGAGGCTCCAGGAGCCTCCCGGAAGCTCCGGGAGGCCTCAGGAAGCCACAGGAGGCCCCAGGAGGCCACAGGAAGCGCCAGGAGGCCCCAGAAGGCAACATGAGGCCCCGAGAGGCCCCAGGAGCAGTAGGCCTCAGATGGCAACAAGAGTGGCTCCAATCCCATGTGTTTTACGTATGCTCCCATAGATTCTGCCTCACCTGGATCACGAATCCTTGATGACAATCCTAAATGTTTTACGTATGTTCCTATAGATTGGGCCTCCCCTGGGGCACGAGTCCTTGGTGTTTGACGTGCAATGTTTTGCGTACGTCTGTTCCTATATATTGGGCCTCTCCTGGGGCACGAATCCTCCCCAGGAGGTCCAGGAGGCTCCAGGAGGCCCCAGGTGGCCACGCGAGGCTCCAGGAGGCCTCAGGAAGCCACTCGAAGCCCCAAGAGGCCCCAGGAGGCCCCAAGAGGCTCCTGGAGGCCCCAGGAAGCCCCAGGAGGTCTCAGGCTCATGCGCAGAGACGCGCTCGTACTACCGAGACTCATTCACATACCAATTCATTCGCAGTTCGATTCATGACCAGACCGTCACAACTGAAGCCCGCTTATATCCTATGTTTTTTCGCCTAGGCACTCACGGCGGACAGGTCCATGCGAATAGATGCACATATGGGGAGCTCCACGCAGTGAATACTTTGATTATGTTTAACTATGCTTAACATGTTTCGACTATTTGTATTTGTCGTCCAAAATCGGCCTGCAGGGGGACATGCCCGACTCAACATCAGGGCGAGTTCAGACCAGGATCCCGGGGCGAGTCTAGCCGCGGCGGCGAGAAGCCCCCCCCCCCAGCCCCAGAGGCCCAGAAAAGCCTCCGGTCTCGAAGTCTTTCGCGATGCGCTGGAGCCTTTCGCGATCCGACGTCCCGAAACCAGCCAACATCGTAAACCACAGTGACTCGCCCAGAAAGCCCTGGACCCACTCTTGCCCCCCGCACCTCTCGAGCCGGGTCGGTCCGTGAGTGCCCTGGGGGCTCGAGAGGAGAAAAGGGCGCCCGTCGTGATTAGCTCGTTCGGACGCAACTCCTGGGAGGTCAAATTCTGATCTTGCCCTGGTCCTCGCCCTCATTATTCCAGACCTTCCGTGCTGACTTTCCACACTCTTGCGCTTCGTGTAACGCTTAGTTTTCTTGCGTTCCCTGAGGCGTTCAGTCGTCTCAATGCATGAGTCCATGGTTGTGTACAAAATTGAAAATCATCTAAATTGAAACAAGCAAGTAAAAATTTGCTTAAAAATTGTGCATGCGCGTTTGATTGACATGTTCAGCTAAATGGTGTGTATGACTACGTTTTCTCATACCGTGTTATATAAAATCTCACCAGCCCTCTGTGAGTAGCTGGTTCAGCTGATTTGGTCTTCTCTTTGCTGAAAAGCTCCTACCCCCCTGCTCGCGAGCGGAATTACTCCTCCCCCGATCACCATCCCTGGACGTTGACGGGGGGGCGCGGGTAGTTAGAGTGTCTTCTGGGGTTCCAGCTGGCCCCAACAGGGCCTCAGAGAGCCCAAGATAGCGTCGAAGATGGCCGAATAGACCCCAAGACGAACCAAGATAGCGTCCGACACGCATCCAAGAGGCGCAAAAAACTTCTCCCAAGAAGGTCTCGAGTGCCCTCCGAACCCCTCAATGACCCACCCCAACGAGCCAAAACCATTGAAACGCAAATGTGCATCATCCTCGCGAAGGGCCAAGTGACATGCAGTTGCGAGTGTCGCAATGCAGGTTTGACGAACGAGGAGGGATTCCCTATGAGGCCACGAAACGCGTGAGGGGCGTGCCGACATGGGTGCGGCGGGCGAGTGCGAGCGCAGCCACCAAGGCCTTCGGTGGCGCCCCCTATAGGGCAACGAACTGCGTGAGGGGCGTGCTGACATGTGGGCGGCGGGCGCATGCGAGCGCAGCGACTGAGGACTCGGTGGAGTTCCATATGGGGCTACGACGCGTGAGAGATGAGGGTTTGCAAAAGTCGGTGCGGCGGGCGCATGCGAGCGCAGCCACTGTACAGTGGAATTCGGTGGAGATCTCGATTGGGCAACGAACTGCAGTATGAGGGGTGTGCCGAAGTGCAGCGGGCGCATGCGAGCGCAGCCACTGGGGCCTTCGGTCGAGCTCCATATGAGGCCACGAAGCGTGTGAGGGGCGTGCCGAATGGGTGCGGCGTGCGCATGCGAGCGCAGCCACTGAGGCCTTCAGTGGAGTTCCCCCATAGGGCAACGACACGCGTGAAGGGGCGTGCCGAATGGGTGCGGCGGGCGCATGTGAGCGCAGCCACTATGGCCGTCGGTGGGGCTCCCCATGGAACCACGGCACGCGTGAGAAGCGTGCCGAAATTCGCGCGGCGGGCGCATGCGAGCGCAGCCTCTGCGGCCTTCGGTGGAGCTCCATATGGTGCCACGAAGCGCGTGGGGTGTGTGCCAAAATGAATGCGGCGGGCGCA